AAAAAAAAAAAAAAAAAAAAAAAAAAAAAAGAACAAAGAAAATCAGTATTCTGGGCCAGGGATTTGGCTCAGTGGCGCTGTGTCTGCCTTGCAAGTGCAAGGTCATGAGTTCAATCCCCCATACCGCACAAGAAAAAAGAAAATCTGTATTCCAGAGAGAGACAACTGAGCTTGCTTCCTATTCCCCACACATTAAAAGGAAGACCAGCCATCCGCTCCTCAGCTGCCACATCCTTACAGATGCATCCACAGACTTCACACAGAAACTCAGACTGCCCGGCTTTCCGATTTTACCACAGTCTTTCTTCACTGTTCTTGTGACCTTCCTGAATTGTGAGCGGCCAGAGCAGGGTTTAGTCTAACTATTCAAGACCATGCAGTGCAATAACCACGCTTCCAAGCTGTAGTCCTGAGCGGGGAAGGGAAGCTGCAGGACAGCTCCGGGCACTCACCTGGTCACCGGATGGAGGGACTGGTGCGTCTGAGCCCTGCCGCCTATGGTGCTGGGCCAGCCTGGCCATGATCACAGGGGAGGTTCGAGGACTGTCTAGTCCAGGGTCCGACAGTACTGAGTTCCGATTCACCAAGGACTAGAAGAACAGAGAGCTCCGTGAGGAGGAACCTGGTCCGGGAGACTCAGGGCTCAGATAAGCTGTGGACGGGAACCATACTTGCAAATACTGCAGCCCCGACTACACAAGGTCTCACGTAATGCCCTACCGGCTCTCTGAGTCAGATACTGTTACGTACCTCACTTTGGAAAGGTACGAGGATCGCTGAAGGACAGAGAGCCCGGAATGGATCCCATCCAGGCAGGCCCACCCCACGTCACCAGCTACTTCACGTCCTACGTCCAGTCCACTACTGGTTACGTGTGGACACTCTCCTCACCCCTGCACCACTCTCCTCTCCTCCCCCACACATCGGTCCTCTCAAGTGCATTGACAGAAGCAGTGAGGAAATGAAATTCCGTATTTATCATTAGGCTCTTAAAGTATTTTCAACTACTTGCTCAGTTATTTACTATCTTACCATTGCCATCACTACTCATCCACTCCTATCCACAAGCCCGTTTCCAGCTTACACGTGTACACTGAGGATGCCTTTGACCTTTGGGGTCAAAACCTGAGATGCTCTGACCGCTCTAGAAAAGGCAAGCCATTCAGGTAGCAAAAGATCTATGGCAAAAAAGTCTGCCACTTGTGGGTTCATTCCTCTAACGGTGTCACCCCAGCCAGCTAGAAATGTTTTTGGTTGTATGACTGATGATCTGTGTTAGGCCCCTTTCCAAGGTCTACCACAGTTCCCGACACGCTAGCTTGCCTCTCCACCCTACTTGTTCCCCAGAGTTGACAGTGACAGAACAGAGCCAGATCTGACGGCTTTATCCAAACCCTTCTACTGCATCCCGAGCACAGTGACTAAATTCCTGAACTGGACAGGGGCCCAGGGGCCCAGGGAAGGGGCGGTAAACATGGCTCAGAACAGGCCTCATCCCTGGACACTCACCTCACTGAGCGAGGGAAAGCGTTCTGTCCCGGAGTCCAAGCCGCTGTCCGCCTCCTGTGAGTCCAGAGAGAGGCGGCCTGAAAGGAAGTGTTTAGAAGGTAGGGAAGGAGCTCAGGCGGGGAAAGAAGAACCTCCGCTCCCGGCACCTGTGTCCCGGGCAGGATGGGGCCGCCGCCGCCGCCGCCGTCTTGTGCTGGGTTCCCCCTGGCTCTCAGTCGTGGCCCCAGTTCCTCTGGGCACGGCCCCCTCCACTCTCACCACTCCCAGCTCCCACCTACCTCTGCCCCTGTGCACGGGACAGCTCAGCTGCTCAAGGAAGACCGCGGCGTACCTCAAATCGGTCTCGCCCCTCAACTCACTCCCAGCCCTCTTCTGGCCACTGATCTCTGCACAAGTAGAACCTGCTGAGTCCCTGCTACCAGGAGCTCTCAGGTGAGCTGCTGTGAGGGCCACAGCCACCCAGGATCTGCCTGGTCCTTAGCTATCCAGTGCTCCTGACCAGGGCTCATCTTCTGTGTACCAGGACCGCCTTTTCCCAGTACTCTACTTCCCAGACAGAGGGCAGAAATTACGTATTTTCTTTCCCAGAATCTGCCCTGTGGGGTGAGCACAAGAGATAAGAAGCCTGCACTTCACACCAGAGAAAAAGGGGACGATGGGGGCTCACCTTCTGATGGCTTCTGGCTGGCCTCACCACAGAGGGGAAGTATGTCCTGAAAGACAGAAGCCCAAGGGCAGGCACTGTGAGCCTCCCCGCTCCGTCTCCCTCCCCCAGAGGGTACCTGCTCATACGGTGGTCTCTTCTGCTTCACCGCCTCAGAAACGCCAGCCAGAAGAGTTTCTTCACACGTGCAGTGTGAGGGGACGGCGAGCCCTAACGGTGGGAAGGGGCCTTACCCTTAGTAAAACGCAGAACTCCTCACCGCATCTCCTACCCTGGACCTGTCTCTGGGTTGGGTGCCCGGAAGAACTTAACTGTCAAGGAGCACAAAATGCTCGGGCAGGTACCGAGGCAGGAGGAGAAAGGGTTTACTTCTGAGTTCACTGGGGAAGACTGGTAGCCCCAGGCAGTGCAGAGGCTACGATGCCGACAGCATTTCAGGGTTTACAAAGTGCTTTTCTGGATGCGTTTTTCTCTCAGCAACCGAGTGAGGCAGATCACTCCCATGTTAGAAATGAGCAGCAGCTCAGATCCTCAGGAACCTGCCCGTGCTGCACAGGAGGACAACGCTAAAGCCAGGCCTGGAGCCCAGCAATGGCAGTGGGGGGGCACACACTGGCCCTGTGCCGGGTCATGCTTTAGTTCTGGCAGCACTGTGTGCTTGTGACAGTGTGCGGTGTGGCACTGGGGTGAATCTAGAGCCTCTGCACTAAGTGATATCTCTGGCCATACAGCCTCCTCCTCCTAGAAGACAGGCTCTCCCTAAGGTGCTGTTGCTCAGGCTGGGCTCAAACTTGGAATCTTCCTGTTTCAGCCTCCCAGAGTGCCAGGATTACAGGCGCACACCATGCCCAGCCAGGTGGGTTCTACTGTAATCACCACGGTACAAATAAGGAAATGCAGCCTCCCAGGGATGAAATAATTTATCCAAAAAGCTAATGGTAACTAGAGCTAGGATTTGAAACCAGGAGGCCTAAATCTGCATCCTGAGCTCTGGTTCACTATGTAATATCAGAAATCCTTCAGAAAATGAACACTTTTAGTCTCTTTCCCAGACTTTTCTGATCTGGAGACTATAGTCTTAAAGAAAGTCTTAAGTCTCAACTAGATAAACCTTAAATTTGTATTGACTTTGGCAACTACTGTTCTTGGAGATTTTAAAGTTTCTGAAGAGTTACTTAGGTTTGATGGAGATAAGAAACTAATAAGCAAGGCGTGGCGGCGCAATACCTGTACTAGGAGTGCTAGTACCTAGCACTTGGGAAGCTGAGGCAGGAGGATTACTGGGAGGTCAGGCTGGCCTGGGCTACACAGCAAGACCCTGTCTCAAAAAAAACAAAAAAACAGACACTAATAGTAAAGACCCTGTTGAGGATAGAGAGAGAACAATTCCCTTTCTGGAATTTTTGACAGCGTCGTCTGTAGAGCCCTCTTAGGTGACTTTGAAGTACCCTTGGATTTCTTTGAGAAGACCTGTTACTCGAAGGGCAGGTGGTGGGAAAGCTCCCAGATGAGTCCTGAGGAAAGCCAGAGTAGGACGCACGTCAGCCGTGATCAAACGGTGCAGAAGAGAGGGCTCGTTAGGGGTGAAGGAGTCGGCTTTCCCGATTCCTTCTCTCCAAGGCAACCACGAGTTCTCGTAGGGAAAGAGAAGCTTCCCCTTCCTGTGATATCCCACGAGTACAGCAGCACTCGGCTTCTCTACCGCTGACCTTTGTTCCTCTGTAGACTACACACAAGCTCAGCCTTCCGGCGCCGCCATCACTCGGCGGCCTTCGCCCTCATTCTACCCGAGACCACCGCGCGGCACCTTCCTAGGTCTACGCCTACGATCACTCACCACTAAGCCACCTGTCTCCTGCTGGATCTTCAGCTGTAACTGAGTGACGCGCCGCCGGGCACCTTCGATCTGCTCTTCCAGCAGGCTGGCGGGGTTCCGGCTATACACCTCACAGATACGCTGGGGGAGGCGAGGAGGAGGGGAGAACGCACAGGGTGGTTAGTAGAGAACGGCCAGGGAGGGGCGGGAAGTCAGCGGTTATCCCACAGGGAAGAGGAGAGAGACGAGGCCTCCTGACCCCTAGTGGAGGCGCGATCACTTGGGATCACGAAAAGGGTAAACGAGGAGGAAGGGAACACAGGAGGCAGCGGAGAAAGAAGACCAAATACGAGGGAGGGCCTGCCCTAATCTCCTCACGCTGCAAGGCCTGGCTCACGTCCTGCGTCCTAAGGCAGAGCTTCCCACTCAAGGGTGAAACTGCAGTGAACGACCGGATCAGTCCACAGAGAGGGCTAAAGAGGAAACCTGCACACAATGAGAACCCTAGGCAAGGAGGGAGGAAGGCCGAATGGAGCAGCCACCGCCCTGGGCTTCTGCAGAGCCCAATTGTTCTGGCCCCAGCTACCACTCCGAATAGCACTTAGCGGAGTAGAGCGGAGGGCCTGAGGAGACCTGGCTTTGAATTCTGGCCGCTCCACTTAAGGGCTGTTAGACGTGGGCAAGCTCGAACACACCCTCACTAGTGAAATGGGGGCCGCAGTGCCTGCCTGGTGGGATGGCTGTAAGGTCTGAATGAGGTAACAGAGTGCTTGCAGAATGTCTGGGGCTGGGTTACGGGGCACAGTGCGCAGTATTTTACTATAGAGGGAGACAGCCGATAAAGCTTGTTGGTTAAATACAAACTCCTCACATTTATTTTATTTTTTGGTTTTTTTGAGACAGGGCATCACTATGTAGCTCAGACTGGCCTTGACCTCACTCTGTAGCCCGGGCTGGCCTGGGATGTGCAGTGATCCTCCCGCCTCAGCCTCTCAGATGCTGGGATCAGAGGCGTTTGCTCCTCACATCAAACGTTTCATCCTTTCCACGCTCGTCAAGCCCGACCCTTCCCTCAGACCTAGCAGGTAATACGTGGTAAGACAATGCCCAACTTCACGCCACTTCCAAACACCTACAGCCTCTCCCCCTCCGGCCTTAGAAGAGAGAACGTCAAGTCAAACCCTCAGCTGCGCTGGGCACGGTCTAGACACTTCATATATACTCAGTCTCCTTTCTTTCATCCTACAGAAACGTTCAAGTTTCCTGACCTAAAACAAACACACCACAATAAAATCCTCTCTAGCAGCCCAAATTATTGCTCAGTCATCGCCCCATTTTTTCTTCCTTTCCCAGCCAAATGTTTCAAGACAGCAGCCAGCATTCAGAGCCCACTCTCGGGCTTCTGGTCACTCCTCAACAAACAACCCAGCGCCTCCCTGGCACCTCAAACAGCTGCTCTTTCTGGGGTCAGAGATGACAGGAAAGCGTGCCGCGAAGCACACTTAGCTCTCCCCACATCCACCCTCGGCCCTCTCCGCCTGCACAGATGTCCTGGAGATCTCATCCAGATCCCAGTCCCGACGTCGGCACACTGAGGAGCTTCCTTACCTCACACCTGCAAACTCAGCGCACCAAGAGCTGCCCTTGAACTCTGCTCCTCTCCACCACGCTCCATCAACAGCGGCACCACCTGCTCAGGCACCCGAACTCGGGCCATCGTTTTTGTCCTTCCCGCTCCCTCACTGGCCTCTAAGGCGTCTCCCATCTTGTTCTCCCCTTTTGTTCCGACTCTTGCCGTCCTTACTAAACCTGTCCTTGTTAAATCTGTCCTCAGGAGACCTCCCAGGTTTCCATATTAGCAGCCCACTTAGCATACTCCTCCAAGGAACACTGATTTGAAATCAAAATCCTCTGATCAACTGCCATCGCCTTTAGGGCAAAGTCCAGGCCCTCCAGAGATTTACGGCCAAATCTCTGCTCCATAACCACACCCACAGCCATTCTCAACGTTCTCCTCACAGCAGACTGAACTCAACTCGGCCCAGGCACCGCCTCACGAAGCCTTCTGATAACTGCACAGGTCATTACCCCTCCAATTCAGCTACTGCGGCATTGCAACTTAAAAAAATGTCATCAAGGCATAATTCATGTCACGTAAGCCTCATAATTCAGGCTTCTGATACACTCACACAACAGTGCAACCGGCCCCACTGCCCAACCCAGAGCGCTCCCCTCGCCCGCCCGACAAAGAAGCCAGCACCTATGAGCGGTCACAACCCCGTCCCTTTGCCCACCCTCTGGCAACAAACCGAGGGCCTCCTGTCTCTGGAGCTGCAAGCCATGGACTTGCCTGGCGTCTCTGGGTCAGCATGCTTGCGGGGTCTGCTATGAGTAACACACCCTACTGAGTGGGTCTATGATTCTTTGCTTATATCTATCCAGTCATTAGCTGATGGGCATCCGGGTTGTTTCTTTTTTGGCTAATAAAAATAAAGGTGCTCTGAATGTTCATGTACAAGCTTTATGGGAACCTATGGTCTTAATTCTTCTGGGTACTTGTCTAGGAGTGGAATTGCTGGGTCATTAGTACCTTGGTTTAACATTTTGAAGAATTGGTCAGGTGTGGTGGTGCCTGCCTATAACACAGCACTTGGGAGGCTGAGGCAGGAGGGTCACTGTGATTTTTGCAGCCAGCTTGGACTGCATAGTGAGACCCTGTCACAAAAAACCAAAACCAGGGCTGGGGATTTAGCTCAGTGGTGCCACCACCTGCCTCACAAGCACAAGGTTCCGAGTTTGATGCCCAGTACCAAAAAAACAAAAAACAAAACAAAAAAAAACCTCGAAAAACAAATCAACCCCCACCAAAACAACAACAAAAAACAAAACCCAAAACACTGAGGAACTGCTTCTCGCCAGCATAGCTGCACTATTTTATATTCCCCCTCAATGGTGAGAATAGATCAGGACAGTGCATAGGAAGATATAATATTAACAAGTGTCTCTCAGCTGTGTCCACCTTTCCAACGCTTGATATTCTCCGTTATTTTGGTTACGTGGCATCTCACTGTCATTTTGATCAGCAGCTCCCCATGACTAGCAATGCCGAGCATCTTCGATTAGCCATTTGCTTTTTATTTCCCCTCTCCCTCACTCCCTCCCTTCTCCCTATCTTCCTTTCTTTTTCGGTGGCACTGAGGGCCAAACCCAGGGTATAGCTCTAGGACACAGGGTCTCATTAAGCTATCTAGGCTGACCTTGAACTTGTGATTCTCCCAACTTGTTTCCCAAACAGCCTAGAATTACAGGCTTGTGCCACTGTGTCTGAGAAGTTTTTAATTTTTTTTGTACTAGGGATCGACCTTGGGACTTACACCTGCGAGGCAGGTGGCTGCATCACTGAGCTAAATCCCCAGCTCAAGTTTTTAGTTTTGATGAAATCCAATTATCTTGTCGGCCCTTTTGTCTGTTTTTCTGTGGTGCCGGGGATCCAACCTGTGGCCTCACACATGCTAGGCAAGTGCTCTATCACTAAAGCACACTCACAGCCCTGTTTGTGTTTTTGGTGTCATATTAAAGAAACCACTGCCTAATTCAGGGGCATGAAGAATTATACATATTTTCTTCTAAGAGCTTTACAGTTTTTGTTTCATTTTTTTGACACAGGGTTGAACTCACAGCAATCCTCCTGCCTCAGCCTCTTGAGTGACGGGATTACAGGCGTGCGCCCTATGTCTAGTGAGTTAATTGTTTTTAACCGTGGGAGGTAAGTGCAATTCTTTGCATGAATATATCCAGTTGTCCCTGTACCATTTCCTCTTTTCCTGCACTGTTTTCTGAAAGGGAATTTCTTCCTCATTGGATTGTCTTGGTGTCTTTGTGAAAATCAACTGACCATAGACAGGCGTGCTAAATTCCGGACTCTGGATTGTGTTCCACGGACCTACAGGTCTACCTCTGCACCCGTACCAGTCTTCCTTACTCTGTCTGATACACACACACAAGTATCACCGCTTCCAGGGCAGCGCCTTTCCACTCACCCATCCACGCTCTGTGGGCTCACCAAGTCCTCAGAGGTCCTCCTCTCATCTGTCTTTCTGATTCTTGCCCCTAACACACATGGCACCTAGCACACAGCGAGACTTTGTGCTTGGTAAGTAAACGAATGTACGTAACCTAGGCTGTCCACTCACTGGCACACGGAAGCCCCGCTCCTCAAGGCGCAGTGGAATACTCTCCTCTGCGAAGCCTTCCCGCATGTCCCATCGCTGCATTAACTGCTCTCTTACAGCCAGCGTTTTGTTCTTCCTGTTCTCCCTCCTACTGTAATTTGAATTCCCCCAAGTAGACTTGAAACACATCAAGGGCAATACATACAGTGAGCCCCGAAAAAGAGCCCTGTGGAACCGAGATGAAGGGGTGAGGAGATGGCTGCAAGTCACGGCTCCGCGAGGACCAGGGTTATTCCACTCCAGCCAAATCAGTCTTCGGACTGTTCTCTGTGCACATCACTCCTGAGGCCCCGAATCTTCCTTCACCCCATCCAGCAGCAGTGCTTGGGCCCTGACCCTATCAGTTTGGCCCAGGACTTCCCACCCACCCTCACCTTCCGGGCGTCTTACCCTCTTTCCTTGGAAACCTCTAAGATCAATTCTGACCTGCGGGGATGTTCCTCAGTTGTAACGTTCCCTGTTCCCTTGTTTCTGTGTCTCCGAATCATCATCTATTCACTAGCTTAATCTATTTATTACCTATGGAACTCAATGATCCTATGCACTCTATTGGTAAAATTCTGCTTTAACAAGTTTTTCTGGGGGGGATCAGGGCTGAGGTACGGTCTTTGGCCCTGAACTCGCTATGTAGCCCAGGCTAGCCTTAGGCTCACCACGATCCTCCTGCCTTGGCCTCCTGAGTGCTAGGATTACAGGAATGAGCCACTGCACACAGCCCTGCTTTAACAAATTCAATGACAACTCTTCAGTAGTCCTGAGGTTTTATTTTTCAGGTTTTACAGGGATGGGATACGGACTGTAAGCTGAGTTGTGTACGCTGGCAGGCTGCGCTAGTGTTGTTTCACTAGGGCAGTGGCCAGGCTATCTTCAGCAGTGAGCTCACCTGCAGCTCCTTCTCCTCCTGTCTCAGCATGTTTCTGAGGATCTGGGTGGCATGTTTCTGAACTTCAGGGTCCTGGGGATGGAAGACAGAACCGAGTGAGCGCCGGGGGCCGGCTCAGCAGCGTGGTTCTCTTCTGGGCAGGGCGGGGTGGAAGCAGGCCTGGTGCATGGTGTGCTCTGGACACACCCAGGACCTTGCTGGGATGCGGGCAACACAAAACCTCATTTTGATTTTGCTCCTGATCTTCCTAAAAACCTTTATTATAAATCATTCCCCACTTCTCCAGGGACTTGCTGGCTCAGTCTTCTTTCAAACTGGAAAATCCTGTTTCCTGTAACTGTCTGCATCCTGTCCCCATTTAAGCCTTCACACAGGCTTTCCCACTCTGAAAGCTTTTGTTCTTGCCTGCCTCTCTCCCCACACCAGTCGGGATCGTATCTCACCCTTCCAGGCAGTCTTTCTCTGCTTGGATGCTGTTCCCCGGCTCTCCTTCTAATACTGACTGCAAGAGTCCCTAGCTGATGCCTCCATCCACGCCTGGAGGGGGCGCTCTCCCCCTGAGGGAGCTCGTTCAGAAGCCTGGACACAGCACTGCTGGCTGACCGAACCTCACACATTCACACGGGAGGAGGACACTCAGTCACGGAAGGAGCTTTTACGTAGCTTTCATTTCTGCTCGACATTTCATTGGTGCCCTGTTCATTTGTCTCTCGCTGGTCTCTGCTTAACACAACCTGGCTCAATTTCATCTTCACTGGGGACCTCTTCAAAGGGACCAGAGTGAGGAAGGGGAGCCAGGAAGACCATTACCTGCAGAGGTTTGGGTCCTGTGATGCGCTGTGGGGGTGGCAGAGGTGGAGGAGGAGGTGGTGGTGGGATCATGGGGGTGATGCGAGGAGCTCCGGCTGGCTCCTGCTGGAGCGCGGCGACACCAACGGACGAGGGTGAAGAGCCCAGGAGAGTCAGTGCAACGTAGGCACCAGCTGGGGGGAGACAAGGAGAGGCCTGTTCAAGAGGTACTGTTCGGGAGAGCAGATACTCAAGTACAAAGGAGAGCACTCCTCTCTTCTCCTTTCATTACTTGTAATCCCGTCATTTACGTTCTCACTTGAAAAGCCCCAACCATTCTCCAGGGTCCTGCCCTCCAACCCTGCATCAATCCGTTTCTCTTCCTGCAGAGACCTCAAACACGAGCCACTGCACCCACCCCTTGTTTCCTCCTTTACCTCCTTAAGTGAAAGCCAGTGTGAAGCTCTAGCACACTGCCTGCTGATTTTAGCCCTGCACCCTCAGCCCCCAAGACTTCTCCCCTCAACAGCTGTTGCTTCTATTTGATTATCTGTGCACTTGATTACGGGGTCTTCCTGGCTATAAACCGAGTATTTTTTGCTCTCTCCTACCCTCAAAACAGGAACTAGATGAGGAAGAATGTCTGCGAATGGAAGACGGACAGAGTGGTCTGTAACCGGGGCGTGGTCTCAGTAAGATACGGTCTAAATAGGGGTGGCAAAGATGCGTGTGGAAAAATGAAGCTGTGTGACGAGTGTCTCGGTTAGAAATGATAACAGGAAAGGAAATAAGGGAAAAGAAAAATATGAGAAAAAAAATGGAAACCAAGTCTTTGTAAATAGGGAAGGGTGGGGGGAGGGGGGAGAGGAGGCCAGGGGAATGGGGAAAAATGAGAACCAAGATCCGTCATGTAAGGGTTCAGGGTCTCAAGATGAATGGAACTGTACTGTACACCTAAAAAGTACCAACACACTCAATGAAAAAACAAATCATAGTAGGAATTTCTGGCCTTCTGAGTGGACCGTTCTGAGTCAAGACTGAACATCTCCAAAGGCAGCCCGCAGGGTCAGCAGGCCGCTTCCTCCCCCTCAGCCCACCAGCCCCTAGCTTTGAGTGTCCACCCCTCTCCAACTCACATTTGATAAGTTTCACTACCTCCAGGTGCGAGCTGTTGGTCACCATGGTGCCGTTGACCTGTCGGAGGGACAAAGGACGCTGAGTAACGGTGACGGAGACCTGGGGCGCCTCTAAGATTTCAATGTCACTTCACTGGGGAGCCATTCTCAGCGCTCCCTAGTCACCTCGGGTCGCTTGTTTTTTCAAATCCACGTTACAAATTCATTCCCGTTTACATGTGCCATGTCTTCCCAGCCAGTACATAACTTTTCAGGGACAAGACCTGTTTTTTCATTCACTGGTTCAATTATTTATTTATTTATTGATGGTACGGGGGACTGAACTCGGGACCTTGCGCTTGCTAGGTAGGCGGCAGAACCACTGAGCGAAATCCCCGGTGCAATCATTTATTTTCTAATGCTTTCCACCCATTTGCCTCACACACGTATTTATCAACTGGCCCTGTGTACTTCCTCCTCCCTAGGAGCCTGTGCACCAGGGTTTCTGTGATGCTTCTAGGACACATTACACAGAAGGCAGACCGGAATGGCCAGGCAGAGTCTAGCAGTTTAGAACAGCCAAGGATCTAAGGTCAGTACTGCATGGGGAACAAACCAGCAAGCTGAGAACCTGGAGGCTCACACCCCTCCTTCTTAACCTTATTTTTATCACGCATGAGGTGGGGCTAACAACACCTGTTGTAAAACCCTCCTGCCTTAATCCTCTCCTCTTGCTATCTTATCCGCTCTCTCTCTCATGGCGCCACACCAGACCTGGGTATCGAAATGGGTGCTGGCAGGACATGTCGAGGCCACAGAACCTCTGCACCTCTGCCTCTTTTCCAGGGTCACTCACTTTGATGATCCGGTCGCCCTCTTTCACGCCGGCTTTCATGGCTGCACCCCCTGTAAGGAGAAGGCCTGGTCAACAGAGCCCCACGCCAGCTCCCCCAGAGGCAGAGCCTACACCACGGTCCCTGTCAGACCCCATATGAACTGTCACCACGTGTTTCTACACGAAGTGCCTCAGCGGCTGGGTGGACGTCCCCACTCCGCTCCAATGACAAGTGGTTTTCAAGAGGCAGCAGACTCCCTGAGGTCACACCTGCTGCTCATCCCTTCCTTTGCCCTGGCTCAGAAGCCCGACTGCTGACGACCAGCAAGGTGGGAGACAGGCAGGCCCAGCCCCAGGGAGAGTACATCTAATACACCTGAGCATCTGGGTATGACCGAGGTCGGATAAGCGCTTACCGGCCAGTGGGAAAAGTGGGCTTAATGCATTGAGTGTAACTGGTAAAGTGATAAAGATTATTAAGAGAAATATGGAGACAAAGGATTAAAGCAAGCTTTTAAACTGGCATTCAGCCGTGACAGGTTCATAAAGATATTCTGAGGTCTCATGCCTTTAAAAAAACTGATTGTTTTATTTTTCTGTTTTAAAAAAAGTTTTAAACTATTTATAGCTTCTTCCTTTAAAATGGACCAAATCAAGGGTTTCTGATGTTGGCTGACCAGAACATGCTAGAAGAACACGCTCCTGATCTTTTCAGGTAATCACTTGACCAGCAGCTACCGTGGTTCTGACCTCCATGTAGGTTTGAGTGGCTTCTACTGTTGACTTAAATTTATACCCAGGAAGCACAAGAAACACGGCAGCTGAAATTAGTTAATGAGGCATAACAATTATATTTTGTAAATTTGCTCCAAGATGATCATTAAATCTGCAAGTTGCATTTATCTGATCAAAACAAAACTCCCACAAAGCACATCTAGATGTTTCTAGTACATTAAAGAAGTAAATAAAAGTACAGTGATGACCACACTCCAATTTGGCTTTTCAATATGGGTATGGAGACTCCCCTCATCCAAAATGTGCTATTTATGGCACAGTACTCACAAACAGCTTGAAATTCTCGCTCACACACTTATAGAAATGAAAGCTAGAAAGGAAAAGGCTATCTTGCTTGAATATATGAAACACATGAGGTGACTTCTAATAACTTAAGTGATCAAAATAAAATCTTTAAAGAAACTTGAGCAGAATTCTCAGACTTCTGTTAGCATGAGAATTGCCAGGGTACTTTGTTAAAATGTGTATTCTGGGCCCCTTGTCAGAAAGGTGATTCAGTACTAAGGTTGGGCGTAGGAATAAGGACTCCAGTCCTCCCTAGGACCCATGAGTGATTTTTTTTTTTTGTAGTTTTTTTGAGACAGGGTCTCACTATGTAGTTGAGACTGACCTGGAACTCACTATGTAGCCCAGGCTGGTCTCCATCTCACAGCAATCCTCCTGCCTCAGCTTCCCGAGTGCTGGGATTACAGGTGTGCGCCACCACGCCCAGCCCCATGCGTGATTTTGACAGAAGCAAAACACAAATAGTGAACTAAAGAAACTCAGTATTTGGAAAAGACAATGGCCCTTGCTTTGCTAGTCTTGTGATTCCAATGCCCATCCAAATTAAGTCTTTGCACATCACTTATTTTGTTGCAAGTCATCTTTTTGTTCTTTCCCTGTTGATTCTAATTCTACTCAGCCTAGGAGGAGGGGAAAAGTGAAGGAGAGCTGAGCCCATGTTTCACTGGAGGGGCCCCGCACTTTCTGCATCTAACAGACAGCAGAAGCAAAGTACATGTTATTGGTTGTTTTAGTAGCTCTGTCTCATCCCAGTCTAGGAACTATGAAAAATAGGGAAGCAAAGAATAATAAAGCTATCTTTTCAAAGCTTCACTCTAGGAAATGAAAAACAAACCTGCCACTGATAAAAGTTAGCTTCCAAACATGAGAGCAATTATTATTTACATCCTTGTACGCTCCACGTATCTCATTTTGGTCAGACATTTGTAATTGTCTTTTTGTTTTCCCTTAAACATATCCCACATCTTTCTCCAAAATCGCTGCAGGTGCGTCTCCGCTCTCCCTGGGGCGAGAGGCCAGTCTGCTCTTGGCATTTCCTGTGCTCTCCCACAGGCCAAGCCGACAGACGAGGCGTCACTGGCCTCACCCTATTTACCACCTACAGCTCTTCCCTGCGAGTGGCACTCGCTTTATACTGCCCGGCCCCTCTCTGCCGCTTGTCTTCTTCAGCCTGGGCCACTAACAACGATTCGACCCCCTGGCATGTGACAGAGCGTGACTGTGCACGGCTGTCCTGTACACAGATGGACCTGTCGTTTTTCTGTTTCCATCTTTCACACTACTCCTGAAATCCTCTCCTAAGGAATTCTCAAAGTGATCAGAGAGGAAGTGACTCTGCCCCTTGAATCAGACTGCCCAAAAGAACATTCAAATGCCATTTCACCTGACATAATACTTGATACACGTCCTCTATCTTCTGGTAATTTATTAATGTTAACTGACTGCAAATAAATGTGCTCTAAAGCCACTGGGACCAGCACGCCTGTGAAACATAAACCCGGTAGCAGGCGATCATCTGAGCACTCAGCCAGGTAACTGGAGGTCACGGGAAGAAAGGAGGCCTCTGGTTCCCCCTTGTGTCTTCTGAGCCAGTATGAGGGGCTCACCTGGACGGAATCAGTACCTGTCTACTGACCCCAGGGCTGTCCCATTGGGTTTCACACTTCCCTGTGGTGACCCCAGAGCTTCCACCTCACGGCACAGCACTGCGGAGACCGACCCAGACATCTGTCTGTGGGCAGCGGCCCCAGGGCTCCTCCACCCACGTCATCCTGCACGGCCACACACGTGCGCCTTTCCGGAAGGTGTCCTCTGCGGGGGAGACGAGCACTTACCAGGCCGCACGGACTGCACCAGAACAACGCGATCCCCACTGACTGTGAAGCCGAAGCCATGCTGGTCCTTCTGGATGATGACACAGCGTTGGACAAGACCTGGTGGGGATGAGCGAGACAAGGGGAGGGGCTGGGCCGGCAGTCTCTGGAGGGTGGCGCATACGAGCCAAGGCCAACTCTGGAAAGCCCCTGTGCATTTCTTCCCGGGAAGCTAATTTCCAGACTCATCCTGCTCCAACACATGACACGCTTCCCAGGGACTGGCAAGTACCTGCAATCTCCTCTGACCACCATGAGAAAAGACCCTTCTCTGCGGAGCGAAGATGCCTGCCTACCGTACATGTCAGTCCCTTTTGGTTTGTCTGACTGAGACTGGTCAAAGAAGGGGCAGGGCCAAGTCCAAGTACCCTCCTAGAGACTAATATTACAGTAAAGGACTATTCCGTGGGGTTGACTGAAAACTCTGTCATGTCATTACCAAAGACACCAGCAGGTGGGACTCTAACAGTTGCTGCCTGGTTCTTGTAGTGCTGGACACCTTGTACCGGGTGACTCAGGGCTGATCCTTTGCCAAGTCCAATGAAGGACAAATGACAGCAGGAAATGTTTTTTTCCACATGAATGCTGTCTATGGAACTTGAAACAATGAAAGAAAACCAAGGCGATGACTCCTGACTGTCTCCATCCTTGGGACCATGAGACAGGCATTGCCTACGTGACTGCATTCTGTAAGGATCAGAATGGGTTCCAGAGCTAACAGAACTGGGTCCACGTCCTGATTCTGTCCCCAACAAGCCGGGACAGCTGGGCAGGTTTCTTAACTGCTCTGTGCCTCAGCTCCCTCACCTGTAAAATGAAGACAATAGAACCCACTGTCTAGGCTGATGTAAGGGGTCAATTTGTACAAACCAGTACCACAGGGCCTGGGACACACTAGGTGCTCCACAGAAAGGTGTGAGGATGTGTGCTCTGCTAGGCCTGTGTGCGGATGCCGAGAAGGTGGTTGGTTACCTGCTGTCTCAGAGGTGTCAGAGGGCTGGCGGTGGTGAGAAGGGGACTTGCGCTCAGGTGCGGAATCTCCAAGGGAAGACAGGCTACTTAACCTGGAGAAGGAGTAAGGAAAACCCATCGGTGAGATGGCCGGCGGCACCAGTAGAAGGAGGTTCTGTCAAAGGGGCCCCGAGTCTTGGACAGTGAGAGCCTGTGCCGCCCACTAGTAACCCAGTCTGTCAGGAGATTGGCTACGTCTACACTGCAGGCAATAGCGTCTATCTGGAAAATTTGCCCGGCAGAGCAAGCATGGTCTCTTTAGAACCCAGCAGGAGTGAAGAGAAGGAGCCTTCTGAGGAGTCAGGTGACAGAGACAATAACAAGAAGGGGATGTGTGCACACACGTACACACACTCACATCACACACGCTTGTCGGGTCTTACCAGGCTGCAATGGGGCTGATGAAACAGAAGGGAGCAGCAGAGGAAATGAACGCAAGAAAAAGACGGGAGAAGACAAACAGCTAGTTAGTGTCAGGTGATGATCTGCAAAGCAAGAGGGCGGACGCTGCAGGTCAAGCACATACAGAGGCCTCATGGACATGCAGAACAAAAGCTGCAATGGCTGTCGCAGAAACAAGCTCCCCGCCTCAGCTTCATCTCCTCACACCGCAGCTGTCTCCAGGAGGGTGGCGGGGCACGTGGTTCTAACCTACGGGTCACTGGCAACTTGCACGCTGATTCAGAAAGGAGGAGCACAATACTGGTGCCTCTGAAAATTCCACTTTCGTTTTGGGTACCAGGGAGGAACAGGTGCCTGGTCTGTTTGGTGGGAGCACATTCCGACCTCCTGATCAGCCCCGTTCCCCAGGCAGCCCAAGGCACCTCACTGAGACCCTAAACCCTCAAAGCACTGCAGACCACCAAACCAGAGTCACCACTTGATCGCTTTGTTAACTAGGACTCCCTGCAGGAATACATGAAATACAAATCACTGATGTGCCTCTCGCTTTTAGAAAAAAGTAGAAATTGCCAGTTTTCAAATTAATAACTGCTGCCAAGGGGCAGTTCCCAACCTAACTACAGCAAATGACCAAGGGGAAGGTTATGGAATCAGTGGGTGTAAAGGAAATGTGACATGATCTAAATGTTCACAATGGGGAGCGGGTTAAATCCATCACTCTATGCCAATATAATGACAGACTTGGGCCACACAGAACAATGAGGAGGCACCTTCTATAACACAGGGCATGAGATCCATGATATTTATTGGGGGGAAGGAGCAAGATACAGGACTATGCATACATTGAAAACAGTACATAAAATGGAGAATAAATTATTTGTTTATATATTTTACACATTTGTTTATGCATGCAAAAGTATCTAACATGTTTCTGGAAGGACAGAAAAGAAATGAAACGCAGGCTGCCTCCGAGGGGGGACCATGGATGGCTGGGGCATGAGACGACCCGAGACAGACTTCTCATTACATCCTCCTTTGCACTTTAGTTCTGAATCATGTGCAGATACTATCTACTCAAACAACAAACGCATAACTCTTAAATGGGAGGAGATTTTCTTCCCTCCTCACAGGGGCTCCCCTCTTACCTGGACAGGTGAGACTGCTTTTTATTGGCTGATCTTTGGATCAGAGAGAGAAGGACATCAAAGAAGAACAGAGCGTGAGGCCCAGCAGAGAGCGATGTGGGAAGGAGAAAGAAAAACAAAACACGACATAAACCAGACAGGCAGACAAAGACACTGGAGATAACTGGTTCAAAAGAAAAGCAACAACAGTGCCAAGAGGGACCCACAGGCGGAACTGGCCACGGCACAGCAGATGAGCCCACTGAAACGCAAATTTACCCAGGTCACCTGTAGCTTACAACTCTCTTCAGCTTCCCACACACCCAGGAGAAAGGCCACCGTGTGCCTCCCGCAAGTGCCAGCGCCCAGCTTTCCTGCAGCACGGACACTCGATGCACTCACTGCTCTTCTGCTTGCCAGGACAAGGCCGGGCAGTCCGCGAAGGCAGAGGCAGTGCTGCCCGGTGTCCCCACGCCTGACCTGGCGGGTGCTCAGTCCTATGCTTGATCCCGACTGGCTACCTTCTCTCTTCACTTGTGATCCTTTCTGGTCTTTCCTCCTACATTATTTCCTGTTGCTATACCTACAGGCCAGAAAAGGTAAATTTTTAGAAGCTGAACTTCTGGCTTTCTTCTAATTACCCTATTCCAGCATTCCCTGTCTAACTGCTACTTCCCCACTCACGGCAGAGCTTTCGCGTTGCTCAAGGAACAGAGGTTCTCCTGTACTCTAGAATCTAGACCTGTCCCATACAATAAGCCATAGCTACATTAAATTTTTATGTTTAAGGGCCAGGGATTTAGCTCAGTGGTTCCTCAGCCCACCTCGCAAGATCAGGGACCCGAGTTCGATCCCCGGTACCAATCAATCAATCAATCAATCAATCAATGTTTTAATGTTTAAGTAAAATTAAGCAGTTTCTCAGTTGTACTAACTACATTTGAGGTACTTAATAGCTACATGTGGCCAGTGGCTACCATGCCAGATGGTGTCTTTTAGAACATTCCCATCATGGCACAGAGTTCTACTGGACAGCGTTGTTCCGGACACTGCTTGGCAATAGGGATATAAGTGGATGAGGAAAACGTGTAGATCTTTAGTACAGATACTCAGTGTCCAGAAGCCCCCCGATCAGAAAGGGACTCCCAGAAATGACCTTTAACAAGTCTTGTGGGCCAACTGGTCACCTGCTGGCTTCAGTCTACCCATAACACCCCACTACCAGGTCACCTGCACTGGGGCTGAAATCCTCCTCCCTGCCTCCAGAGAAAGCCTGTTTTACCTCAAGACGCCTTAAGACTCCTCCTTGCGTTGCTCTTTCTGGCTCTGGACGGAAGCTGGCTTCCTGTGCCCATATTCAAGTCCAAAAGACGCATTTTTTAAACCTTGTGCCCCAGGTCCTTCCTCCCTCTTTCTGGTTATTTTGGGGGAGGTGGATCCAGGGCCACGCACACACCAGGCATATACTCCATCACTGAGCTCAACTCGTGTGGCTTTTACCTGAGCAGGGCCATGAGGCGCTCCACATAATTGAAGGCAAATGAAGCACGTGTGCATGCCTCTCACTGTAGAAAACTGTCAGGGGCACGGACAAAGGCCATCCCAACAGCCACGGGGAGTTCCTTTGAAAGACACAATCACATGCTGGGGCAGGCACAAAGGGGAAAAGCAGACTACAACACAAATACAGAGGCAAGGTGACTTTTCTCTCCTCTGAGAGCTAGAAGAAGGACCTGGAGGAAGAAGAAACAACTTCTAGAAGGCAGGCTGGATGGATGGGAAGAATGGCTTCACTGTTGAGTCAACTGGATTTTGAGTCTGAGCTCAAGATTTGGAAGGAGGGCCTTGGAAGGTTATAATCTGAGAGAGGAGGAGGAGACAAAGGAGAAAGGAAGGTAGTTTGGCATGAAACAGAGGTGGCGTCTCCCTCGTCCCATCCAAATGTGGCAGCAGAACTCAGATTCCACTCAGCCTAAACCCTGGGGGCAAAGGGAAAGCCCTGGAGAGAACTTCCTCCGAGTTTGTGCTGTCTAAATGACACCACTGAGATAGGTTTTCTGACTCAACGTCTTATTTACCTGCTCTATCCAGCCAGTCAGGACCGGGTTGGGGTGCTGTTGGGACCAGATTCTCATAAGGAACAGAGAATCTAAATCCCCCACACTTGCTGTTTACAGTAGGGTTTATGCTATGAGAATTTAAGTGCTTTTCTCTAACGGCCATAGATATTGAACATTTTTTCCTGTATTTGTTGGCCATTTGTGCTTCTTCCTTTGTGAAGTGTCTGTTCATTTTACTTGCCTATTTCTTGATGGGGTCTTTTATTTTAGGTGGTCTAATTTTTTTGAGTTCCTTATATATTCTAGATACTATTAATCCTGGATGAGGATTTTTTTTTTCCCATTCTGTAGGCTGTCTCTTCACACTACTAATTGATTCTTTGCTGTACAGAAGCTGTTTTACCCCCTGCCTCCTACAATAGGGATCAAACTCAGGACCTTGCAAGGCAGGCACGGCACCACTGAGCTATATCCCTGGCCCTTGCACAGAAGCTTTTTAATTTGATGTAATCCCATTTGTTGATTATTCCTATTATTTTTTGTGCAACTACAGTTCTATTTAGAAAATCCTTTCAATACCTATGACTTCAAGTATTTTACCTATTTTATTTTCCAGTAGCTTCATTGTTTCTATTTTTATTTTATTTTATTTATTTTTCTTTTTTGGTTTTTTGAGACAGGGTCTTACTATGTAGTTGAGACTGACCTGGAACTATGTAGCCCAGGCAGGTCTTGAACTCACAGCAATCCTTCCTGCCTCAGCCTTCCGAGTGTTGGGATTATAGGTGTGCGCCACCACGCCCGGCCAATGTTTCTGTTTTAATGTTTAGATCGTTCATCCATTTTGATTTAATTTAGTACAAGGTAAGAAGTATAGGTCCAGTTTTAATCTTTAGCAAACATTTTTTCAGTTTTCCCTTTCCCTTTTTTTAAAAAAAAATTTTATTTGGTACTGGGGATCTAACTTGGGCTCTTGTGCCTTCAAGGCATTTCCTTTACCATTTTTTGAATGGGCTGTCTTTCCTCCAACATATACTTTTGGCCTCTATGTCAAAGACTGGACAGCTCAGTGTGTAGGGATTTTTCCGTATCCTCTACTCTGTTTCACTACCCATGTATCTGTTTTTGTTCTGGAACCATGCTGTTTTTACTCACTGTTGCTTTTCAGTACAGCTTGAAGTCAGGTAATGTGATGCCTCCTGCGTTGCTCTTGTTGGCCAAGATTGCTTTTGCTATTCTGGGTCTCTTCTAGTTCCACATGAATTTTAGAATTGTTTTCTCTAGACCTTTAAAGTATGCTGTTAGCATTTTGATTGGGACTGCCGTTAGAGAAATGCAACTTAAAACAACACTAACATTCTATCTTACTCCAGAAAGAATGGCAATCATCATGAAATAAAATTTTTAACAAGCTGATGAAGCTGTGGTGAAAAAGAAAGCCCTCTACATTGTTGGTGGAAATGTAAACTAGTCCTACCATTATGGAAATCACCATGGAGATTTCTTAAAGAACTAAAATTAGAAATTCCATATGACCCAGTTATAACCCCTTTCTAGGTATCTACCCCAAAGAGCTTAAGGTATCATAACACAGTGATACAGGCATACCAGTGTTTATGGTATGCACAACTCATAATAGCTAAATGCTGGGAGCAGGCAGTATAACCACCAACCGATGACTGGATAAAGAAAATGTGATATCTATACCAATGGAACACTTGATGATAAAGGACAAATTTCAGACATATGTAGGAAAATGGATATACCTGGAAAATAATACTGAGTGAAATAAACCAGACACACAAACTTGAATACCATACTGCATCTCTCATCAAGTAAGGCAAAGTACAAAGAGATTAATAAAGGATAGACAGGAGACAGGAGGGAGGGGGAGGTGAAGGGGAAATAAGCAGAATAAAGATATGCCAAGTACAGAGATCTAATAACCTCAGTGAAATGTAGACATTATATGCCACAAACATAAGATTAATGATATCAACAAGAATGAAATAGGAAAAGAAGGACTGAGGGTGGAAGGGAAGGGGGTGGAGATTTAAAAAGAAACAAGTTGCACTATGTACATGTACCCACTCCCAAGATGACTGTGAACTGCATGTTATGCAAATATGTGTTCATTTTAAAAATTATAAAAATTAAGAGACCTAATGTTAACACTAACCTGACAGGAGGCAGAGCTCAGGAGGAAGTTCGAGAGGGGGACTGGCTGAAGCTTCACCCGCAGGCCACTTACACCCGGCTCTGTAGCTGCTTCCTAAGGTACCATCAGTGGCCTGGGGGTTGGGGACCCCTGGGTGAAAGAGGCCTGCAAGTCCTTTATAATCTGCTTCTAGGGTTGCTCCTTTCTTTACACGCACCGCTTTAAAAATCAAACAGAAGTAAAGCACCTCTTTTTTACGCTCCAGTCCCGACAGCTACATCACAGTACTATTGCTCTACTCCCACCAAATCTAGTTTCTCTCCTTATTACCAGTACAGCTAGGGTACCACAAACAGCCTGGCATGAAAGGCTCTTCATCGTGTGGGCCCAAGCAACTTTTCAAATTCATCCCTTTCTACGTGGCTGCTACCTGGCTGCTTGATCCAAAGACACTCTGCTCCTTCCTGCTCTGCATTATGATGGCCGCCTCGCCTTTTCTCTGCACCAGTGGAGGCAAACCTATAGCACGAGCGTTACTGTGTTTTTCTTTTAGGACAAAAGATGTTAGTGTAAGAATTGTTTTTTGTTTTTTTTTTTTTAAAACTAAAACCTCAATAGGATAAGTTGCAGTGTTGGCATTTCACAATAAGCAAGGATAAGTGGGTTTTGGGGTGCAGTGCAGCCCTCGGTCTCTAAAAGGCTTACCACCGCTGCTCTATACCATCTCCTGTTCCAGCGGTGGTGAAGGAGACCATCTCTAACCAGACCCCACTTCCTAACAGCAACCTATCAGCTGCGAACCAGCCCTCGAACCGTCACCTTTAAAAGCCCCATCT